TTCGAGGGAGAGCCTCACCCTACAACTCCAGCACAAAGGTCTGGGCTGCCATTCGTTAACGCTGGCTTTTGAGAACCTACAAATGACCCCTCTCTTCTTTGAGTTGCTGCTTTTCGTGGTGTTCAGTTTTCCGGCCGACTTGTTTCAGCTCCCCACCCTGCCCATTTTCTGAGAGTGAGGTCATTGGATGACTTACTTGTTCTGGCTCACTTCCCTCCCTTTGGTTCAGTCTTTGATCTGTGCCAGGGAAGAAGTCCTCTAGGAGAGTACTTAGGCTCTGAAAGCAATCTTCTGGCTCAGTCATCAAAACCTTGCACCCAAAGCCTTGATAAAACACAGGCAGCTTCACCCCCGTTATTTTCCCCTGTCTGGGCTGAAAGATGCTTAATCACTTAATTCTTCCCTGCTATTCATTTGGGGAGCTGTCAATGATGTTCCTGTCTCCAAAGGATGTGAATATGTAAATAAACGCAAAAATGAAAGCAGAAACCAAAGTCAGGACTCACTAAAGGAAGCAGCCTGTATTTCTGACTCTCTAGCTTATGAAGAAATTAATAGGTTGAACTGTCAGTCAATAAGGACTCCAAAGGCTTTTGCTGCTCATAATTAACTTGATTAACTGCTCATGATGGAGACAAAGTGAGAGTAAGTATACATTGGGGGCTTTGTAACTAGCTAAAGACCCAGACCTGGCAGAACACCTGTCACCCCTGCTCATGCTTCTCTCCTTTTTCTAGGGATGTACAAGGACTGAGTAAATTGTGGCACAACTGTATCTTCTCTCCACTAAATTATTTTACATTGTAGAAATATTAGCCATTTTAGAAAATTATCGAGAAGAATGGATGACAGCCTTACCCAGAGATAAATATTGTTGCTCTTTTATTGTTTCCTTTCTTTTAAATGCATTTTTTTTTGTATTTGAGACCATGCTCTAAATATAGCTTTATGCTTGGCTCTTTTTTTCCCTGCACATTATCCTTGGATAGACCTCTGTGGGGGGAAGTATTATTAGACCACTAACTCAGGGGACAGCTGTCCACCGTTGGTGGGGTCTGGCCTCGGGATGGGGCAAGCAGATGTCACCTCATTCAGTGCCCTGCACCACTGCAGTTTGAGTTGAAGCCTAAGACAGCAGATATTGGCTAGAATATGCTTCCAGTACATGGAATTTTCAGCACTCTCTCTCCCAGTCTTCTACTTGTTATATACTTACCTCTGTTCTTGGCAGTACAGCTTTTTTTATTTTTTGGCATCATGCTCTTTACATTTGCATTTCCTTTCTTTAAAGCATTTTCCTAATGAAACCATTTATTCCTCAATATGCAAGGGCTTCCAGATTGAAAATGTTTCCAACTTTCAGTATAGCGTGTCTAGAGTCTCCAGTTTCTTTTTTTAAGTTCCTAGCTTTAATTTAGATTTTTTTTTAATGTATAATTCATTCAGGCTGGTTTTGAAAACATGCAGGATGGGGGAAGATAACAAACCTGGAAGGTAGCACAGAGGGGAGGGGGAAGTAGATGCACAAACCAAGACAGGAAACCTGGTACCTATGTTAAAGTCACACCTCATAGACTCCCTCTAGAACTTAAGATCAGAGAAAAGTAGAAATGCAGTGTCATCTCTGTGCTTTCAAAAGACCTAGGTGGAGCAGGATTCATGAACAAACGTGCTTGTGTGCATGCAATGAAATCATCTTTTAAAGGGGATTCAGCTGCATTATATTTAGAACCTTGTAGTTGCTACCAGCTACCAGCACGTCTTCTTGGGGTGGCTCACTTCCCTTTTCTCTCTGTCCTAATTTTGTTCCTTAGTGCGGGGTTTTGATGAAGCTTCATGTCAGTTGTTCCCCTTCCCTATCACACAAAATTCCAGCAGAGGATTCCTGGGAATCCAGCTTTAGCACTACCAGCCCCCCCCCCCCCAAGCCCTGCCAGACCTATGTTCTGACATGTTTGTCTCTGGTTGCAACAATAGTTGAGGCATCCAGACCCTCTCTTGACTATGATGAGTCCTGTCCTATTTAGCCAGGAAGGAAAAAAAACAGACGAACTTAATCAGACTTGAGGTTTATTCACAAACATCAACTCAGCAGCTCCCAGGAGAACAAAAGGTGAGAGTATTGCTTCTGATAAAGTAGTGCTTCTTAAGCTGGAGTATGTATCCGAAGCACTTGAGGAAGGCTGCTAAATGCAGACTTCCTGACCCTGCCTAGAGTTCCTCAGCTCATTTTTTAGTGGAGCCTGGGATTCTGCATGTCAAGCCAGCACCTTCATGCACTTCCAATGCTGGACATCATAAAACCAACTTGGAAAAGCACCAGGAGCCTATTACCACTCCAGAGACAACAAAATAATACCACTGCCCACTCCCTCCATTCCTCAGGCTACATGCTTTAGTCATGAGGGGTGCCCTTCTGGTCTCTCCTGACCCTTCATCAACGTGGTGTGCTTTTGGGAAGGGACACACACAGTCATTTAGTCCAGCTTAGCACCCCCTTAGGGATGGCCCAGCTCCACCCACTCAGAAAGATACAGACCAACTGTACCATTCTATCTAGAAGACAGACCTGGAGAGTGCTATACAGAAAAATTGCCAGCATGTAGTACAAGGTCCCTGGGTTCTGTGACTTACTCTGGGACAAGTTTCTCTCCAGATACCTGATATCTTGGTGACATACATGAGAGTCACACTCTGAGCACACATTCTAAGTCCACTTTTCTGGACATTCTTCACATATCTTCACTGGATATGCATATCCAGGTTCCTTTCACTCCATCTATCTCCCATTTCCAGTTTCTCAACTGTGTGAACTTGCTCTTATGGTCACATTCTCCATGAAGTACCATTGCTACATATGCTTAATTTTTGAGTATGCTATGTGTACATGCGCATATCACATGCCAAAATAGTGGCTAAACACACCATCAATGCAGCATTATCTCATCCCTCTGGTCTAGATGTCCTTTTATGGTAGCAGAGTGCTTTGGAGTCAAGGTACCTCAGTTCAAATCCTGCCTCTCCACTTACTAGTTTCCTGTTCTTGGAGAAGTTAATTAAATTCTTGGAACCCAAGTTTCCTCATTGCAATTCAGTGAGTAAGCTTCTAAAACATCTAGAGCTGAACCTAGAACCTAGAACCCGCAGGTGTTAGGCACCTGGTTTATTTGTCTATATTTTATTTTATTGTATATGAAAAGAAGTAATCGTCCAGATTGCTCTCACCCAGTGGGTTAGCCAGAGTTTTTCATTGCAAGCATCAAAAATCATCTCTGACAAAAATAAACAAAAGAGGGAATTGCCAAGAAGGCTGAAGAGCCAGGTGCAAGGAAACAGCTGGAACCCAGACAGGCTACACAGCCAAGTCATACCTCAGAGCACGATGGCACGGCCGACCCGAAACTGGTGCCACTGTCACCAAAGTGCAATTCTCTGCTGTCCTTGTGTCTTGCATCACTGGCTCCAGGTTCAACACATTGAGAGAGAGGGTCCCTGACCTTTCCTGGGGCCCATGCCTGTGTCTCACTGGCGGGGGTGATGGGGGGGGGTTGAAGAGGTGGTTCTAAACTTTCAGCTTCCATAGTCAGAATTCCTCAAAAAATCAGAAGGGGACTCACCTATCAGGTCACCAGAAAAGCCCACTGTCCCAGCTGTATCCTCACCTTTTCTGAGGTTCATCCCTTATCCTCTCTCCATGTATACATTCATTATGAAGTGCATGGAATCTTTTTTTTTGCAAGGTACTTTTCAAACCTTTAGAACCATTCTGATTTCAGGGACAATATTTTACTTTTCTGCCTTGTTTCCATTCTTTCCTTTGCCTGGACTTCCTCCTGCCTGCTTTCCACCATCAATCCCTTAAGAGCCCAAATCACACCCTTTCTACCAAATTCCCCATTTGCTCCATTTTGCTAAGGTTCTCTCTACCTTCTCCCAGGGGGAGAAGGTTGAGGGCAAGAAGATTGTCTGATTCTTCTTTGTAGTCTTCTAGAAGCACCTAGTAGATACTTAGTACATACATTTGTGAAGCAAAGCATAGGGTTTTCTCAGCTGTCTTTCCACACATAGGTATATAGACTCCTTCCACACAAGACAGAGCGGTTTGAACAACAGAAGTGATCCATGTGAATGTATCCTGCAAACCACGGTGTTGGACAACTGTACAAATTGTTTAGTTCATTCTAGTTTTACATATCTCTCATTAAGGTGAGGTGCCCTTACCCTACCTCATGCCATTTTAGAGGGGAACGTTATGGCACGGGAGTTCACCCACCTGTTTCAATTCTGCGGAACTTTTTGGTTCCTTGTCCAAAAAGGACCAAGGAACAGCCAAAGTCCTCAAGTTGTTGTTGCTTGGCTAAGTTAAGCCACGTGTCCCAACAGGTCCCATTCTGTCCCTTCCAGCACTCCAGGTTGGCGAGGAGCCAAGCTGGCACAGACCCTCCCCCAGCCCCCCAACCCGCAACTCGCGCCCAACCGTGCTCGAGTTTCCTCCCCGGGTTCTAGCTCTGGGGGTCCGAACTTGGGCAGCTCTGGAGGAGCGCCGAGACCGCTCCCGGGTCTGTGGGGCCAGCGGATGCCACCAGAGCGCTGTGCACTTTGCGACGCGGCGCTGACCCCCGCGGCGAATGCCGGCACGTGACCCAGAAACTTTGGCAGCCGGGGCGGCGCTCGGCGGGGAGGTGCGGCCGAGCTCCCCCGC